AATGATAATGGAGGTCTACACAGAGGCAGGCAAGACTTTTATTAAGTATACAAAATACAGATACTCACAGAACAGTCAGCCTATTCCGAAATAATCTGCTGTCATGCCTCCCATCTCACAAGATTGGGGCCCTTCTCCCGTCTTTTTAAGCAAAGAATTCGTTCCTGTTAACAATATATCACTACAACAGTGCCATCACGGTTGAACAAGATTCTGTATCACCGTACTTGACAATTTTGCTGAAACTGTCTGGCACATCTATATCTGTCTCATGGTGCTTTTGGTGGACTCCTTATAAACTAAGTCTAGTCGTTCGACCGGGTGGACGTGTTACTCGTTTCTTGCCTCTTCTGATTCTGTATCCAACAGTAACGCGCATCTCAAACATCAATGATAACAACAATCCATGTTATACGTTACTTAACAGTGGATACACACAGTCAAGAACAAGAGGGTCGGCCAAATATCGCCTGCCGCCGTGTACAAGCATGGTCAAGTTAGATCTCAAAAGGATACTGGGAACAGAACTTCAACTGAATAGTAATATTCCAAGGCCTAGCCAACGACCTCGCGAAGTATGTCGCAAGTCATCTTGATTTGCACCTCTAGATCAGTTTCCTATCCTGGCTAAGTGAACCACTTGCTGCTTCGACCGGATTGTCGTGGAATTCTGTTCGTACTTTGGAGGGTCCTCACTTCTTTCACATCGTTTGCTACCCATTGAATGGCAAGCGGCTATTTATTCTGTATAGAAGAAGAAGATGCGACCACTGGAACAAGAGTTTTGTTCTCCCGACGTTTCCGATTCTGTCGAGAATCCTTAATCATAGGTAATCATAGGATAGTCTGAGACATGCTTAGATAGGGTGATAAATGCACAGATTGCATGGTATTTATGATTCTTAGCTATCATCCGCATGCGTACTGTAAGTATCAGCTCCTGTAGCCATCGCTTGGGGTTTTAATTGGTGCGGTGATGGCTTGACACTTCGCGTCTGACTCATGAATTTCCGCGATTTCCTTGTCCGTGTCGGACTCGGGCTTGATAATTGCGCGGCAATTATGCTCGCTGTAGTCAGAGTTGTTGCTGGGCCCGGCCCTTCTCACGGCCCTTCACTTTTATTTACTCTGTATGTTAATTCGATTCGAATCAAGATGTTTGTAGTTGTTTCGACTCTGCATGCAGACGTAGAAGCCTGTTTGGCAGACTTAATTGTAGTCATCAATGTCATTACCAGTTACTTTCACTATAAGGTCGGTGATTATTATCTCACTTTAACCAGGCCTGCGCGATGAGCCGAGAAGCCCAGAGGAATAACTCGGTGACGGACTCCAGTCAAGATTGCTGAGTTTCCTCAAAGGGACTATCTCCGTACCAAACCATGCCTCGTCATGCCCATATGCCTCCAATGTCTAGTTTGGACAGATGGTTACCAGGTACGGCCGTTCTACCTTACGCGAATAAACTTTTATCACCATATGAGCCAACTTCGTGCGGTTTTTTGGCTTTTTTCTCCTCGCCGAAATTGTCTGGAATTTACCTGTCTGCTCTCTACAAAAGTAGTTAGTCTTGTGCGAAATGGTTAAATTCACCCTTATGAAGACTACAAGAAAAATAACCATCTTCTACACACTGTTTAGGTAGAGCAAAGTCTTTTGGGGCATTTTGTAAGAGCAAAGGGTTCACGGTTGCTATGAGGAATCGGGTGGGTGGCAGGGATGCAGCATATTTTGACAGCCATTCGGCGAATGCATAGTACATAAACACAAGGACTGATTTTACGGTAACGACGAAGAAATCAGCAACCTACCCGTTGAGAGGAACAGGCTGCAAATAGCCTTCATCAACCTCCGAATCGATATAAACAAGACAACCTTTTTAAATTTCCTCGCATGGTGCAGCAACGAATGCGGCAAATGCAGGATGCAGGGTTTGATCTTCAAAACTAAGGGGATCCAAGGACTCGGTAATCGCAAGAAAGGCAAAATTTCTTCGTATCAGTTAAGACGGTCCATAGCTCCACAGCCAAAAACCGCCCCGCTGCTCTGGTCCGACGCGTCAACACTTCTCATGGAGAAGTCGTAAATTTTGAAGCGTTGGGCCGTGCACTTCAGAGACTTGCAGTGAAGACCAATGCAGCTACATTCGAAACCAATCAGATCACCGCTGCCAGAGCCAAAACAACGGTTTCGCAACTCGTAGGCCAGGTGGCTCAGTCATGTCGCGAACAAAGTGTCCACTAGGCATTTTGAAGATTTTCACTAATCGCCACACCTTTTATTATGCACGGGTACAATTAACCCAAAACGGGTTTCTGCCTGACTGACACTGTATCACCCAGAACTTTGTCCTTCGGCAAATCAGGAGGCAATGCTGTTGTTATGGTGGAAGACGTCTGTTTGATTTCTGGAGTTCGGTAAGTTTGATTAGATTATTTGTAGTGTCCGTTGTTATGCCATGGAGACTGACCGTGTATCGCCAGACTGTTTGCAAAGGCGAAATTGTTGTCAGGTTGGACTAGGCGTAATTTCACGTGTTTTCTGTAACCGAATGACACGCATAGTTCTGATTAGTGCACCTTACTATTATAGGACCGCCAAAGCTGGCCAGACCTTTGTCTAGAATTTGGACTGTGTCGTTGGCATTGTCATGTTTGGCATTTCCCCAAGTAAACATTTAACAGCTTCAACGTCCGCACCGCGGTCTCCTGGGCGCATAAGAATAACCTCCGTTTTCATACAGTATTATGAAACGATAAAACGCTCTGTAAAATGCGCACATTATATTTTCCAACTTGGTTTAATTTGAGTGAAACTTAAGCCCGAGGCTCATCAGAGTTGGAGCTAGAGTCAGCATTCCTAACAGCTTTCTAGAAGCTAACAAGATTATAGCTGACGGACTGTGAGCAGGATGTAGCTATTTACAAGTAGTAAAGGACATCTTGAGGGAGTTGTACCAGAAAAAGTCTTCCGGGTGGAAATTGCTAGTACTACTGACTGACATAACAACAGTTGGGAAAACCCGCCTGTACTCCTGGGTCTCCTTGAGCTCGTTGATGTTCCAGTTATGTTTGTTGTATGGGGGATAATAAGGCTTACCTCCCGCCCATCTGTGTTTCTTTCGTGAAGTATTTAGCAAAGAGGGCTACGCTTTTGGTTACTCAGCAGCCTTAATCCTGAGTCATAT